TCTATGCAGAGTAAGGGGTCCTGGGTGGGGCCGTGGCAGTGGTTAGAGGGTGAGGAGCACCTCAGACTGTAGTGTAGGCCAGGTAAGAACACGGGAGACCTAGGGAAGGGCGGAGTGAAGAATGGTGCAGCAGAGTGTCCTGAGAACAGCTTCAGGGCAGGGCAGGGTGAGACCACACACTGCTAGTTGTCACAGAATAGCCCTGGTCAGGCCTCACAGGGACACACCACTTCCAGACCTCATGCAGGGGAAAGGGCTTCCAGGAAAAAGTGTATCTCGGTTTTCTCCTTCTTTACCTCTGAAAGGTGTGGGAGGGGTGGGAAACACTGGGCCTCCTAGTCTGCCTCAGATCATTTTCATAAAGGTTGGGATTTTTAAATGAAGGGGAGACTTGAGCAAGTTTGAATTGCTAAGGGGACAAGGAACATATCGCGAGGAGGCTGGAGACACATGATGGCTCTGGTATGTATATTCCATGGCAGGGAAGGAGCGGGCACCTGCTCCCTCCTAACACAGCCACCATAGGCCCGTCCCACGTGCTCTGGAGCCTAGCTCGCCCATCAGCATGGCAGATGCATGGCAGATGCAGGGCAGAGTGCGGCGCAACGAGACTGCTCCTCTGGGCAGAAGAGAGGCAAGCACAGAGTGCGGCGGTGAAGTCGGGGTTCGTGACCAAGGAGCCCAGGCCCTTCAGGATGCGCGCACGTGCCAGGGTGCCCTCTGCCCTGGAGGCCTGGGTCGGCCCAGCTGTCAGCACTGCTTCCGGTTTGAGGAGTCTCGTGCTCCTGCTGACTGGAAATAGCCTTCCTTAGTTCAGTTTTTAACATTGTTCCCAGTTTTTTCAGGTGCCACACAGAATGTACCTGCTCACTTACTTAGGATTTGACTTTTCACTTCAGACTCCATGCACTTCTGTGTCAGTGGGAGGTCCACAGAGTTGCGCGTGAATTATACAGACTGATAAATGTGCGTAGTCAGTGGCAGCTACACAGTTCTTTTAAAGTTAACTATTGCAACTTGAACTCCAAGCTGACCATCCTGGCCTTCGCCTTCTCCCTTGGTCTGGCTCATCCTCAGCTCTGGGCACTCACCTTGTCATTGCCTTGGTTTGGGCTTGACCTGCTTGGCTTTCTCAGCCAGGTGTCTCCTTGTAGCCACAGCCAGACTCTCCCTTCTCCTCCGCTGTGCTACAGGCCCCATCCCTGCCTTTCTGGAGAATCATGGGACAGATCAGAGGAGAGTCTCCTCCCCGTAACTTTGTGCCTTCGTTTCTGTTGAATATTGATGTTCAGCAAGAATAGCCATTGAAAGATGTTTAAAATACTAGAAAATGTTTGCTTTTTTTTTTTTTAAACCAAACATTGAAAACTAGGGTTGGTGGTAGCCTGTATTGATTTATTAAACTTTTAATAAAATATAAAATATTCTATTGGAGGGTCAGCACTTGTCTTAAGTTATAGAATTTTGTTTTTTTAAAAAAAATCACTTTGTTATTGTTTGTTTTGTTTAATGTAACATTAAGTTAATAGATGAGACTTTTTTTTTTAAATTTTTGTTTTTTGGGTACCAGGGATTGAACTTGGAGGCACTCGACCACTGAGCCACATCCCGAGCCCTATTTTGTATTTTATTAGAGATAGGGGCTCACTGAGTTGCTTAGTACCTCCCTGAATTGCTGAGGCTGGCTTTGAACTCGCCATCCTCCTGCCTCCGCCTCCTGAGCCCCTGGTGATATAGGCGTGCACCACCTGGAGTGTAGCTGCCTGCAGATCTAAGTAGAGATTCTAGTTTAACACTGTTCCTTTTAAAAATTATCTTTAACGGAGAGCAAAAGCTGGGCAGCTCTGTGTAGGTGTCATGAGTCATTGGAGGAGGTGGGCCCAGAGCCACACTTAGGTGTTGCAGGGAGCAAAGTCAGCCGGCACCTTGAAGTCTGCTGTGGCTGCTGATTTTCTCTTGCATTCCTAAGGAAGTCCGTAGTATTTAACAAGTACTTTTAAAGTTATAAAAATACTTTTAGTATAGTAATTGAACATTCTTGCTGTTGTGTGTGTGTGTTGTTGTTGTTTTCCCCTCTCTCTCCCCTGTCTTAGCCTGTCTTTGGTCTGCTTACTTTTCTAACAAACAAAGAATTGTCTCTCTAGCTCGTGTCAGTGATAGGCAGAGAATGGGGGACCAGCAGTGTTGCCTGCACTCAGCCCGGTGCCTTTTCTGAGAAAGACGCTCTTGTCCTGGAGAAGGGAGACACTGACTCTGCTCAGCTGCACGTGGCATGGAGAACAAGAACCAATTTAGAAGAAGGCTGCAGGGTACAGAGGCAGGCCTTGGGAGAGGAGTCATTTCTGCAGCTTTCAGGAAGATGTAGACAAATTAGTTCAATTATTATAGGGCTATGTGATGAGAGAATAGGGACTCACCCTGTGGAGTCACAAAGGTTTGTTTGAGGTCATTAATTGTAGTGTGATTTTAGAAAATATTTTTTTCTTTGGAAATCTTTGGTTTTATGCTATAATATTATTTGTTTATTTTAAGGAAAGTTTGTGCTTTGCAGGATGTTTCAGCATGTAGCGGCCAAAGAAGAATGAAACAAAAATGATCATCCTCACTTGAAAGTTGTTGCTGCATATTGATGAGTCTAGCCTTTCATTTCTCTCATGTTAGGTATGGCTCTGCGTGGTGGTACAAGCCACCAGTGACCTCAGGAGGCCAAGGTCAGCCTCAGCAACATAGCCAAACCCTAAGTAATTTAGTGAGACCCTGTCTCAAAATAAAAAGAGCTGGGGTTGGGGATATAGTTAGGTAGAGTGCTTGCCTTGCATGCACAAGGCCCTGGGTTCCATCTCTGGCACCATAAAAAATAAATAAATAGATAGATAGACAGGCACTGGGTTCAATCCCCAGCACCACAAAAATAAATGAATAGACAAATAAATAAATAAAAGGACTGCAGGTGTGACTCAATTGTGGAGCACCTCTGGGTTCTATCCTTAGTACTACACACAAAAATTATTTAAGTTAGGTGTGGAAGATCAGCTGTAAGAGATTGTATACTAGACCTTTTCCAGGGTTGTAAATTACAATATTAGAGCTTGGCTGAAATTTACAATGTTCTTTGGCCCAAATCTGACTGTGATAATCATAGCAAATTTCACCTTATACTCAGAGGTGAAAATTAGTGGACTTGCTGCTTGTTTAGGAACCTTCTTGTGTGCAGATGATCGTGCACATGATGTGGCTTTGTGTGCATGGGTGTGAGCGTGCTCTGTGAGCACACACACGCCAGTCTCACTGTTCCCTGCTATTTGTATTTGAATGAAAGGTAGAAGCTGTGTCAAAATTCTCTTTGTGAAAGCCAAGGTTAAAGGCCTGTGGCTTTTCAGAACTTGAGCTTAGAGACAGGAACTCCAGCTAGGTACCAGCTAGGTAAGGTGTGTGAGGCTGGTGGCATCAGGGTGGAAGGAAGCGAGCAACAGTCTTCCCTTCTCTCCTGACCTCTGTGGTCTTAGCACTCAGGAGGCCGCAGGTCCACAGGATCAGGACAGCGTGTCCAGGACAATGTTCACAGTCCTGGTTTCACCATGCTAGTATTAGAAAGCCTCTTAGCTTTGCACTAGAGTTCGCTTGCAGAGAGTGAACCATGCTTGGGGGATTTTCCTGTGTCTTTTTTACATAGCAGTAGGTCACGTGGTGCCGTGCTCCTTTTGCGCAGTGCTATTCACATCAGCCCTTCTGCTGCTTAAACATGGAAAATGGAACTCAGGGAGTTTGGTTTTATTCTGCTTTTTAAGAAAGCAGAGGGGGTCACGGTCCAGCCCTGAGGGCCCAGTTGGGGCCTGCTGTGTCTCTCCACAGGATTTGTTTCTCCACGTCCCTGGTAGAGTGAGTCTCTGACCTTCCAGCTGGTGGTGTTCCCAGGCTCTGCAGGGCCCGTGACTCGCGTTCCTCATGTGCTTACCTGGGTGGTCTTTCAAGGGGGCTGCACTGGGGCTGCCTCCTAGGCCTCAGCACAGTCCTGGTGCCACCTTAGGTTGCTTGAGCAGCAACTGGCATGAGGCACCATCCGCTCCCTGGTTTCCCTTCTGCCGGTGGACGTTGCCCTGAACTCCCGCCTCTCCTTGGACCCCATAGGTGGGGATGTTTCGGCCTGTCTATGGCAGTTTTCTGCTGCTGTGTTTCAGCCATTCTTCCATGTGGTTTTCTATTCCCAGACAGAATTCTGAAAATACAAGTTAGTATAAGATAAATGAATAGCAAGTGCCACTGTGCATCAGAACTCGTTTACAAAATGTGGTTTTCAGAGAAAACAAAATCCCCAATTACTGATCCTTGGATGCATGCTAAAATATATAAGCTTAATTGGTTTTGCTTAACAATTAAAAATAACCCGAGGGCTGGAGTTGTGCCTCAGTGGTAGAGCTCTTGATTGGCATGTGGGTTCAATCCTCAGCACCACATAAAAACAAATAAAAAATAAATAAATGTACTGTGTTTATCTACAACTTGGAAAAAAAAAAAACACAAAAGTACAGGCAACTAGTACCACACATTTTTTATACTTAGAAATTTATGCTGGGGATATAGCTCAGTTGGTAAAGTGCTTGCCTTGCATGCACAAAGCACTGCGTTCAAACCCCAGTGCCAATAAATAAATAAATAAGCAAGCTTTTCCGTTTAAAAAAAAAAAAAAAAACCTTGCTAGTTAGCTGCGAATTGAATTTGTATTTAAGTGGTTGAGACAAAAAATTTCTCTTGTTCTCCGAGTGTAAGGGGAAGTGCTTGGTCCCTGTGCTGCCTGCTGGGCTTCTGGTTCCAGTGAGATTGTGGATCAGGAGCTGCGTGTTAAACCTCAGTTTATAAAGAATTCTGAGAAGTGGGACCAGTGGTGTCAACATCTGAGGCATGTTAGACACATGGGCCGTGGGCTGGCTCCAGGGATGTCCCAGGGAGATGGCCTTCTGTTCACAGTTGTTTTATTATTTCTTCCTATATTGATGAAACAGCCAGACCAAATCCGTTTGGAATGCCTGGGATGGTGCCACCTTATGTTCCCCCTCAGATGCTCAACATTCCACAGACTTCTCTGCAAGCAAAGCCCGTGGTAAGGCGTTTCCTGAGATGGGTGGGTGGGGCAATGGGCCTTGGGCATTTTGTTTTAATGAATACTAAAATGATTTCTTAAATTCTTGGAATGATATATGAGATAGGTGCCAATGTTGGTCAAATTAAAAAATCACCCAGGAGGAGGCAGCCCGACAGGCCTTGGGCCAGGCCAGCCTCGTGCGATGACCTATGCCCTGTGCTTTAGGCCCCACAGGTGCCCAGCCCTGGGGGGGCTCCGGGCCAGGGTCCATACCCATACAGCCTCGCTGAGCCGGCCCTCACTCTGGACACAAGCGGGAAGAACCTGACAGAGCAGAACAACTACAGCAACATTCCTCACGAGGGGAAGCACACGCCGCTGTATGAGCGGTCCTCGCCCATCAACCCAGCCCAGGGTGGCAGCCCCAATCACGTGGATTCCGCCTACTTCCCTGGCTCTTCTACATCATCATCATCAGACAACGACGAGGGCAGTGGAGGGGCGACCAAGTGAGTGTGCGTGCTCACAGAGCACTCCCGGTGCCTGTGACCTGGGGGGCTCCCTCTGCCAGCAGCTGCTTGGGTGTTAACTCAGGCGGTCCACTGCAGGTAGGTGCTGCGCCCTGTGCTCCTTGGCTGTGGAGGAGAGAGAAGAGAGGGCCTGGTCTGTGAGGTCTCTACTGTGGTTATCTGCACCAGGCCAGCACCAAGGCCGGAGCTGCAGGAAACCTCTTGGGGAGGGATTTGTGTGACACGTAGAATATGGGGTTCATGTGCATCAGCCCCACTGTTCCAACAGCCTTAACCTCTGGGCCCCTGGCTGCAGGGAGCTCTGAATTCCTCTCCTTCTCCAAACTCAGCAGCTCATAGAACTGTTCTTGAAATAATACTATTTGCCCAAGTAAAACCACGGAAAGCTGCCTGGACCCAGGCCGGAGTTCTTCCAGGAGAGGAGTGTTGCAAATACGTAGTTGGTTAAAATCTGATGGAGAAAATCTTAAATGGATACTACCCCTTCCCTTAAACTGTCTTGTGTTTCAAAAAAAGGTAAGGAAAAAAGAAACAGGAAGTGTCTTTTCCGTTGAGTCTGTGTTTCTTTTTCTTTAGTTTGAACTCTATCTTGTCGGGCAGATGACCAAGGCTAGTTAATAATATTTCAGTTATAACGGGGCCAATGGATGTTACCTCTAGCTTTGACCTCTGACAGAAGAAGTTAGAGAAAGTGTCCAGCCTTGAGCAGGTTCTTGCTGATGTGTCCCCTGAAGCAAGTGATGTTTCCTCTCTGTAATATTCCGTGTGTCCACCTGTACAATGGGAGCAAATGTCAGCTGACCTTAGTGGCGATCAGGGCAGAGTTCTCTGCCCCCTGGGACTGCACATCCTGTCTGTAGCAGAGAAATATAAAATTCATAAGTGAGCTATGTATACGCAATCCTGAAACTCCAAAGTGAAGTTAAGGATTATAATTTAGCATTCCAAAATTTAAATTGGCCTTCTAATAGGATGATAAATTTAATACCTTTTAAACCAGAATTTCTTGGTTGGGGCCCAGAAATCTGCATTTTAAATAAGTACCTCATGGAGTCTCAGGCTCACATGGAAGTCTCAGGCTCACATGGAAGTCTGACAGGTGGTCTAAGAAGCCCTTTCCCTCTAGAATTCTAGGTCATTGTGTGTTCTCTTTTTAAAATTCACTTGTGTCAGCGAGATCAAAGTATCTGAACAGACTCTGGAACATTGACAGAGGTTAAAAACGCAAAAGAAGTGGACTGGGGACGGAGCTCTTGTAGAGTGCTTGCCTAGCATGTGTGAGGCTCTGGGTTCATGTCCCCCATGTCTCCATCACCCAAAAAAAGGCAAAAGAAGTAAGCTTATACCCAAGAGTTACGTGCTAGTGGAGGAAGTTTAGAAACCAGATTGAGGTGGTTGCTTGGACCAGGGTGGGCATTCAGGAGACCTATCTGATTTGTCTTCATGAGGGTGAGAGCTGGACTTGGAGCAAGGACAGCTGCCTGGGCACTGTGCTTTTCTGTGTGTTCAGTTCTTAACCTGTTCATAAAGGGTCTGGTCAGCTCTTCCTGTGCCCTGGGATCTGGTCTCCCTGTGAAGTCTTGAAATTCCCAGTCTTCACCCCAGACATGGCATTTTTTACTGCTTCTTGCAGGCACATCTTATTTCTGCAGCTGGGGTGTGAACTGCTCAGTCTTGTGATTGGTTGGTGTCTTGCCGTCCTTGCAGCGTGAAGTGTCAGGCAGAAGAGAAGGCACAGTGCACACACAGCGCCACATCAAAAGGCTGGACTCAAGACGTCTCACTCAGCAGAGATTTAATTTCCTTGAATCTTCTCCATGTTCGCTTTAATACATAGAGATCATGTCAGAAGTGAAGGAAAGCAGGCAGATAGGAAAAGTGCCTGAAGCCTCAGCGTTAGACCCTAGACTGGGGGTGTGCTTTGCTTATGGCTCGTGCTGTGGTTCAACTTAAGTTTATGTGTGTGGCAGGGGCCAAGAGGAGTCAATTTCATGGTTTTCAGTGAAGGTTCTAGTTTGTTGAATGTGTTGTATGTGGTGTGTATTCTATGCAGTTCCAGACTACGTAAGAGAACGGAATTTTGTAGTTAAAAAAAAAAAATACTCAAAAGCAGGTCATGGTAGTATGTACCTATAGTCCCAACTATTCAGGAGGCTGAGGCACAAGGATCACTTGAGCTTAGGAGTTTGGGGCCAGCCTGGGCAATGAGACCCTGTCTACATTTAAAACAAATAGTTAGGGGTGGTGGCCCATGCCTATGATCCTAGCGGTTCTGGAGTCTGAGACAAGTGGCTCACAAGTCCAAAGCCAGCCTCAGCAGTTTATCAAGGCCCTTAACAACTTAGTAAGACCCTGTCTCAAAATAAAAAGGGCTTGGGGATGTGGCTCATTGTGGTTAAGTGCCCCTGGGTTCAATCTATAGTACCAAAATAATAATAATTAAAAATAAATAAATAAACCAGGAGTAATAAGTCGGAACTTTAGTTACTCTTGGTTTGAACTCAAATTAGAACCCCAGACCTACTCTGTGCTTTTAGGATGGTCTTAAGGGGGAAAAAAGTTATCCTTTATTAGCCAAGAAATGCTTGAGCACTTGCTGTTTACAGTGAGCAGGGCAGTGGGTGGGAAAGACAGGGCTGTGTTCATGTGGTATGTTCTGAGGCAGGACAGTGAGCAAATGAAAGTGTGTGAGGAAGACTTCAAGAGGAGCACTTGTCCAGAGCGCAGGAGAGCAGGGTAGGAGGTTGATACCTGGTCCCCGGGGCTGGGCCTTTTGGAGCTGGAGGCCTTCAGTGCCATAGGAAACAGCCTTGAGTGTGCTCAAGCAGGGCCTGGGCTGGAGAGGCCTGGTGTTTCTTTGGACATGAGTTTGTTCTCATCTCTGTGCTGTTTTCCTTTGGGACAGAAAAGTCTCTAGACAGTTGAGCAGCTGAGCCTCAGAGATCTGATCTTAACCCCTTTGACAGGTGGACTGTGGAAATGCTTATAATCTCTAGACCGTGAAATAGCAATGGAGAGCGGCCTTCTAGTTGCCTCACAACTTGTCCCCCCACAAGACTGCCTGGGGGGCCGAGGGGTGCTCAGTAAATACTTACTGGATAGGTTGAGATGCCTGTGATGGAAAACAAAGGTCAGCTTCTACAATTTAGAAATCCTTCCCCTAATACATGTTAGATGATACCACAAGGAAGCGATAGTCAAATGCAGAATGTGGGACAGTTTACAAAAGAAATGGCCTAGTTCTCCCAACAATAAATCAATGGCATTTTTTTTTTAAGGGTGTTGGTGATGGGTGATGGGGACTGTCACAGAATAAAAGAGGCAACCAAGAAAGAAAAATGCTTCCTACAAATTAAGATAAATGTTTTAAATGGCAAAAGATAGACGCATGCAATTCAGAGGAAATACAGACATCACTAAACACGTAGAAGGATGTTCACCCTCACTAAGAAGATCAAGGAATGAAACTTAAAACATAAAAAGGTATCTTTTTTAAAACCCATAAAATTGTCAAACATTTGTTCTTAAAGATAAACTATGGAGGGTGCTGTGGGTGGAGAGGGTGAGACGTGGCTCTCCCGGCAGGTCCTCCTTGCACCTCAGCCCTTCCCATAGGAGTCTGAGAGCCACGGGCACTGGGCACTAGGCACCGATTGTGGAGATGTGCTCTGTACCTGTAGGAAGGTGGGTGTGGGCTGTGTGCCCAGGGAGCATTACCCAGTGCCCTGGAATGTCCTGAGAAAGTGCAGAGCTGACCCAGCTGACCCTAAGGACAGGCAGCCACACTGCCAGAGGCTATCATGACATGCACTGGGCAGTCCCTGTGCTTCATCCCTTTGTTTCCCTTTATTTATTTATTTTTTTTTTTTTGATGTCTTGTTCAGCATTTCAGGTTCTTGAGTTGGGAGAGTTGTCAAGTGGCTCTGTTCTTGGTTCTGTGGAATGGGAGTCCTGACAGTTCTGCGCAGGGCTCTTGGAGCATGGGGCCGTCCTGCCACCCAGCCACCCAGCCACAGCCTCTGCTGCTGGGGGGTGTTTCCAACAGAGATTAGCGATGGGGGCAAGCCTGTGGGAAGCAGGCCTGGGTCTAGCTGGGACTTCCAGGGTGTGCTGTTTGCCGTAGGAGGAAAAGGTGCCTTGGGCCACGATCAGACCAGCCAGTTACTAGGCCCATGACAGTTGGTTTAGCAGGAGAATAAGAAAGAAATGTGTTTTCTTCTGTTCTTTTTGTCAGAGTAGCATCTGCACACACTTGTTCTATTCTTGGTTAAATTTTTTTAAATTAAGGTGATGGTCTTGTTTTTCCTTCCCTTTGTGGCCTCTGTCAGTCCTGTTTTGATTGAATTAAGAATTACATTCAGATCCTTATGGAGATGTTTATTTTATGTTATTTTTTGTAGATTTATTTGGGCTCATAGAATTTGAATCAAAATGAGGTTGCTATATTTTTAATTCTTTTTTTACATCCTTTAAAAAATTACCATCTCGATACAAAGTTATAGAATTAAAACACTGGAAAGTACAATATCGAGAATCTTCCATCTTCCACCTCTAGAGAGGTGACTCTCTTTTTAAGAGTTCAGACATCTTATGTTTCTCTGCATATACTGAAATAAAGTTTTTACAAGATTAAGGTCTGGTCTTAGGGATAGCAACTTGCCTTTTCCCCTTTTCTTCCCTCTTTTATGTTCTATACACTTATGTAAGTTTACGTGTGTACTTACTTGTACATATAAGTGTAAATATGTGTATTACACTTAATATTGCTTTAGTGTTTTTGCATATTATTGCTGACATTTTTAAGTGGATAGGTAAAAGTCCTATTCAGAGAGAAGACATGTCAGCTTTGTGACTTTTTCCACTCACATGGGCTGTTTCATGTTCTTGTACACTGACGTGTGCCTGAAGTGGACAAGGGCGCCCAGAGTCGCGAGTGTCTTTTGGCATGTACTGTTGGTTCTGAGTTATGCTTGCATGGT